ACCTATCGCCAGTAACCTATCGCCAGTAACCTATCGCCAGTAACCTAACAATAGAACCAACAATGCTCAGTCAGGTCATCTGGATAAATTCTTTTTTTGTGCTGAGATGTTTCGCCCTCCATCCAGAAGGCTTCATCAGACAGTTTGGTGTTTCCTCAGACTGATGAAGCCTTCCGGATGGAGGCGAAACATCTCAGCACAAAAAAACCCCGAAACCGTCCAGATGACCTGACTGAACTTTGTTGGATTTTATACCTGGATTATGGAGCATGGACTTTGGTGTTTTGAACCAGTTTGACATGACGGCCGACGAGGGAGAGGGTGGGTACTGGAGGAGAGTGCGTGCCCCAGAGACCAGCTTAGCGCCAACATAACTGGCATAATTGCCAAGTCTGCTTATTATAGGCCGAGATGGTGTAGAGGCAGGGCAGCCGGCTTGGGACCCGAAAGTCGCAGGTTTGATCCCCAGTCACTGCATATCACTTGTTGTCTCTGGGCAGCACACCTCATCCCCAAAATGCCCCCCGGGCGCTTTCAATAGCTGCCCACTGCACCACCTGGTGGTGGATGGGTTAAATGCAGAGACTAATTTTGCCATTGTATGGAAGCATACAGTGCTGACATTGTGATGACATTATTATTATTATATAAGTGACTTTGAGCTTGTTTTTTTCTAAAGTCGCTTGCAAATCTTGTGAGTTGCGGGTTGCGTTTTTTTTGGGCTTGTTTTGACCGTGAAGTTGCTTATTTGGGCTTGACGTTCTTTCCCGAGTGAAACTAGTTGATTATCTCCCAGCTCTGCACAGTAAAGCAAAAGACGAGTGGTAGTAGGTAGTTTGTCCCTTCCACGCCCTCGTTTCCAGTTTATCACTCCGCCCGAGTTGGCGAGACGACAGGTGCACATTCAAACACTCATACTGTGCCCGACCACTAGGGGGCTCCACTCACACGCAGGTGTCAGGATGTTTTGTTTTTAAAAATATGTAGAAAAAATATGATTTACAAATTTGTTACATACAAAATTATTTTTTTTTATCAGAGCTTAAAAGCATGTTATTCAAAGTGTTTATCATAATGTTGCTGTTTATGTGTAATGCCATAATAAATGTATGTTTATACTGTTTAAAAACAGCCTCTGTTTTACACAATGTGGTGGGTTGCCATTTGGGCTTGTTTTCATAGAGCTGGTTGCTTGTTTCTATCGCAAGATCTGGCAACACTGATAACTGTTTTTTTCCACTTTGAAGTAGGCTGTTGGGGGAGAAACAGTTTTGTTTGGTGTTTCCTTGACTGACGAAGCCTTCTGGATAGAGGGCGAAATGTCTCGGCACAAAAAAAAGAAACTGTCCAGATGACCTGACTGAACATTGTTGGATTTTATACCTGGATTATTGAGCATGAGCTTTGGTGCTAACAATAGATCATTAGTGCCATGATGTCTGCTTGCTATTCACAGAACTAGCCTGAGGCAAACTTGGCCAAAAGACGAAACGTTTCAACCTAGAAGAATCCATCCAGGTGACGCGACTTAACGTTTTTGGATTTATTTACAATGTTCAAGGTTCTTTATTGTCATTCACATCAAGTGTGGTACATGAGGTGGAATGAAACTGTGTAGTCAGGGTCCAAGTACACCCCAAAATAGCAAAAAGATAAAGTATTAAAAAGAAACAGTATACAAGGATCTAAGATACATGCTAAGCAATAACAATGTAAAATAATATGGTATAATAAACAGCAGCCTGAACATGAGTCAAGTGACTATTTGTCCATGAAAACCAAAAACAAACAAACAACAAAAAAAGTTCTAACTGAGGCTAATGTAACTTAAATGATCACTTGATGCTCTGTGGGTTTGTGGTTTACACAGTACAAAATGATCCATGGACCGGTTCTAGTCGGCCCAGCAGTGGTTGGGGACCCTTGTTTTAGTGGGTCCAGTTGTTGGATTCATCAACATTGCTAATTAATCTCCTTACAGCTACTCTGCTGATGTGGTGGTTCTTCAGGAAATGGTCCAACCCTACATGCGCTTCATTCACAAACGTCTGTCAGACACCTACATCTTCATTAAAGGTACACCGGCCCCAAAAACCACATTATAAACAGCGTACCTTTACTGAGTCTGTGTCCTAATGCCCACAGGTGGAGAGGAGGGTTACTTTACCATGATGCTGCTGAAGAAGTCACGACTCACTCTGCTGAATAGTGAGATCGTCATCTTTCCAAACACTCATCAGATGAGAAACCTGCTCGTTGCTCAGGTTCTTGAATATCCGGACGCACTCTAGAAAGCAAATCCCGAAATTCACGCATGTGGAACTTGAGTGATGAAAAGAGTTCTGTGATCCCAGTGTAGGATTCTAGCTGTTCAACAGTACTTTGCTGTATGTTTTTTTTTTTTTTTTGGAACAAAAGCAGATGTTCTAAAACCTGCAGTGTTTCCCCTACCATTTTACAAGCGGGGCACCCTGCCCCATCAACAGAACTGAGGGCCCCCCCCCCACACACACACACACACACACATACACACACACTCCCCAAGTCAACAACTGTTGGTATTGATGTAGTGCAGGGCGCAATACAAATGTGCTAGCAAAAATGCTACTGACATACCGCTCCGCTCCTCCCGTCAACAATTACCGGCAGCAACACAGTGCTAAACACAGATGTGGAAACACCCCCCCCCATTGATAAAAACCGGCAGCAACATAGCGCATAGCTAGTAGGCGGGCAACACCGACATGACTCCGCCCCATCCTTTCCCACCTCCACTCAACAATTGCCAGCAGCAACATAGCACTAAAAACTGATGTGACCCCTTGTCGATAAAAGCCAGCAGCAACATAGCGCTAAGCTAGCAGGCAGGCAACAATGACATGACTCCACCCCCTCCTTCCTCATCGATAAGAACCGACAGCAACATACCGCTTAGCTAGTAGGCGGGCAACACCGACGTGACTCCGCCCCATCCTTTCCCACCTCCACTCAACAATTGCCAGCAGCAACATAGCACTAAAAACTGATGTGACCCCTTGTCAATAAAAACCAGCAGCAACATAGCGCTAAGCTAGCAGGCAGGCAACAATGACATGACTCCGCCCCCTCCTTCCTCATCGATAAGAAACGACAGCAACGTAGCGCTTAGCTAGTAGGCGGGCAACACAGACGTGACTCCGTCCCATCCTCCCACATCCCCCCTCAACAAATGCCAGCAGCAACATAGCACTAATCACAGATGTGACCCCACCATAGATCAAAACCGGCAGCAACATAGCGCTAAGCTAGCAGGCAGGCAACACAGACATGACTCCGCCCCCTCCCTCCTCATTGAAAAAAACCGACAGCAACGTAGCGCTCAGCTCATAGGCGGGCAACACAGACGTGACTCCGTCTCCTCCCTCATTGATAAGAACCGACAGTAACATAGCGCTAAGCTAGCGGGGGGGGGGGGGGGACAAAACAGACACAACTCCGCCCCCTCCATCCTCATCGATAAGAACCGACAGCAATGTAGCGCTCAGCTTGTAGACGGGCAACACAAACGTGACTCCGTCCCCTCCCTCCTCATCGATAAGAACTGACAGCAATGTAGCACTAAGCTAGCGGGCGGGCAACACAGATGTGACTCCGTCCTCTCCCTCCTCATTGATAAAAACTGGCAGCAACATAGCACTAAGTGGGCGGGCAATACAGACGCGACTCCACACCACTCCCTCCTTGTCGATAAAAACCGGCAGCAACGTAGCGCTAAGCTAGCAGGAGGGCAACACATACATTACTCTGTCCTCATCCCCACCCCCCACCCCCGTGGATAAAAAAAAATATATGATGAGCGCCCTGTCAAGGGTACTGATCTAGGCGAAACACAGACCTCTATACTTTTCTGCACTGATGGAGCCTTTCAGACATGTGCAAGCTGTCCATGCCAAAGGCACTAATGCACCCCCATACTATTAGAGAGGCAGGATTTTGAACTGTGTGCTGATAACAGGCCAGGTGGTTCCTCTCTTTGTTTAGTATGATGACATGGTGTTTGAGGTTTCAGAAAAGAATTTCATCTTTGGATCTGTTTGACCACAGAACAGGTTTTCCCTTTGTCTCAGTCCAATTTAAATGATCTGGTGTTCACATGCGGCATTTTCCTTGCACGATAGAGCTTTAACCAGCATTTGTGGATGTCTTATCTTTGACATTATAAATGGTAGAAAATGGGACATTTAAAAGCCTTGCCATTTACTTTTTGTGGAACATTGTTTTAAATTGTTTCACTCTTTTTAGTCTGTTATTAGTAGACTGGTGAACCTCTGCCCATCTTTACTTCTAAGGGATTCAGCATTTCTAAAATGCTCTTTTTATACCCAGTCCTCTTGCTGCCCGTTAACCCAACTAATTACAAAATGGTCCTCCAGCTGTTTCTTATCCCTACCACTTAATTTTACAGCCTTTTGTTGGCCCTGGTCCAACAGATGTGTTGCTGCCATCAAATTCAAAACGACCTAATTAATCCACAAAGGTGGAATTTCTTAGTTTGAACATTTGATGTTTCCTGTACTCAATTAAGATTGGCTTGTGAGAATGAGATTTGGAAATCCCAATGTTCTGTTTGTATTTACTTATTGGGGTTGTAGTATCATCGCACATCCTTTATGACAGTTTCCGAAACAAACTTTCAAATCATGTGTGTTGTTTTTTTTCCCTTCTTCTTCTGTAATTCAGGTGCTGTTCAGAGATCAGAAGCTGCTCCTGATGACGTCCCACTTTGAGAGCTGCAAGGCCAGCGCAACAGAGAGGATGTGGCAGCTGAGGATGGTGATGAAGAGGATGAGCGAGGCTCCTGATGACGAGACGGTCCTGTTCGGAGGAGACACAAACCTGAGAGACTATGAGGTTTCGCTCTTCATTCAGAAGTCTTGTTTTTCTGAGATTTCGTTCGCGTTGAACGATGCACTTAATGTAATGTAGGCAAGGAGGACTCTTCAGACACTAATGTTAAAGTTCTTTCACCAAAGAGAGTGAATCCCGTGCACCAAGGTTTTTGTTCCATCACAGGTGACCACGGTGGGAATTCCCAGCTCCGTCTGTGACCTGTGGGAGCAGCTGGGAGAACCCGAGAAGTGCCGTTACACATGGGACACCAAGGCCAACACCAACAAGGGCATCACCTTCAAGTGTCGCTTCCGCTTCGACCGGGTCTACCTGCGCCGGGCAGCCAAGGAGGGGGTCCCACGGCTGCACCCCCACAGCATGGCTTTGATTGGGCTGGAGAAGCTCGAGTGTGATTACTTCACCAGCGACCACTGGGGGATCTACTGCAAGTTTTCTGTTGAGTAGAGTCGGAAACTGGAAGTAGTACGACTGTTTTGTCTGTGTTTAAAAACTGTAGGCTTTTCTTTGATTTTCTGTAATGAGAAGTTGCACATCAGCTCAAAAATACTATTGCAACGCTAAAAATCACTATCATGACAGGAATTCATATAGTTCCTATCATTTCCATGTAGTGTCGTTCGACAGCAACGTTTGGTGATTATCTGCATGAGCAAAACACATTATGTCATGACACTTTTTTTTTTGCCAACCAGCCACATATACCTCAGAAATAAATTGTGTACACAGGGTCCCAGTTACATCCAACAATAGCAAAAATATAAGCTGTAAAAAGAAACAGTAAATAAGATATAAATGTAAGAAATACGCTAAACACTAAAAGTGCAAAACAATACGCCGAACAACAGCAGCACGAACATGAGTCTGTGTGAGTAGATGAGTATGAATGAAAACAGCAGCATGAAATAATCAGCAGCATTTTATTTTTAATCAAGAAATGTACAATCCCAACATAGATTCCTGGAACTTGGTGTATCAGACTAATAATTATTAATTTAAACTTTATGGGCCGGTTTCGCAGATAAGGCTTAGATTAAAACAGGAGTAGGCCTAATCTAGATTTGTTAAACTTGGGCATTTAAGCGGCTAGCTTGAACGTGGCTTAATTTAGTTTTAGTAAGAGTATGGAGTCCTGGAGTAAGCCTAATGAGAACACCTGCATCAAGCCTCATTAGTCTAAAGCCCCCAGTATACTCCCACGTACGTCCGTTCACGCGTACGTACGCGTGTACTGTACGCAGAGGGTTCAGACTTCGTACTCGAGCGTCCACCCTGAGCAGCTGCAGAGCAGCTTCGCAGACAAGGGGCGTTTAGCTTCGGGACAAACTGCGGTCGCCGATTGGTCATTTGCTGACACGCCTACTGGACTGATTGACAGGTCGGAAAAAAAAAAAGAAATGAGCACTGGCAGCCTCAGCTGCAGCGGTGTTCTGTGTTTATACGTTGTTAATAAAAAGATCTGAAAAAACAAAACAGGGAGCGCTGGCTCTGCAGCCCACACGTCAGACCAGCCCACCAGGAAATCTCCAGACCCTCCCGCATCCACGCTAGACCTGAGTTTAATTCGCTCGTGACAAATTCCTTCATTTCTCACCATTTCAGTCACAGCATCAACGGAGGAGGAAGAGGTCGCTTGCCTTTTGGAAAAACAAAAAACAAAAGAAAAGGCCAGATCAGGGATGAAGAAGGGGAATTTAATACATTGGTGTCGCGTACAAAACAGTTCGTCGCCGGGCAGTTTATTGTGCGACACCGCGTACGCGTATGCGGTCGTAAATATTGAGCTTTGCACGGACATGCCCTGGGGGGGTACGCTCGTACCTCCGCGTACGTACGTGCGTACCTCTGCGTATGGACATACGCGGCAGTATACTGGGGGCTTATGCGGGAGCACAGCCTGTTGGTTTACTTTTGCTCATAAAAACCTGGAATGGAATTGAGGGTAGCATTTCTGGAGTGAATTTTGACACCAAACAATGGCTGAAGCTAAAAGAACTCGTTCAACAAACTATACGGAGTATGAAAAAACTTGACTTAGACAAATTGTATTATTGTATTCTATGTTGTTTCCTATTGCATTGTCTTATTTGATTGCATATGCGGTGGTTTTCACTGTAATGCTGACGGGCACTTTTTGAGCTACATATTTGATTGAAAGTTGCTTCATGAATAGGGATTATTATTACTGAGCGGCTTCGGATGTTATCAGTCCATTAAATGGCCGTCATTACTGTGAAAACAATCACATCATGTTGCTGCTGATCTGTTTCATGTTGCTGCTGATCTGTTTCAATGTTGATGTGTTCATGCGTGCACATCTGCTCTCACAGACTCGTGTTCATGTTTGTGCTGATGTTCAATGTTTTTATGTCATGAGTGCTTAGTGTATGTTTAGTTGATGTTTTTCTTAGTTCATATCTTAGATGTTATTACTGTTTTTCTTATACATTTTATTGTTGGATGTAACTGGGACCCTGTGTACATAATTTCGCTCCACCACATGTACCACATGAGGTGCGAATGACGATAAAGAAACTCTGACTCTGATTAGTTGTTATCATCCCCATATGTAGCGGTGAGATTGGCCCACCTACCTCCTAGTAGGTTTAAAGGTCCGTTATTATCATTATTATCGCTGATAATAGGCAGCGACGCACAGGGGTAAACCAGGAAGTGTCTTTTTTATGTTTTTTTCAGCTTATGTAACCCTTTTCCTAAACCTAACCTTACACCTGACCCAGAGGACCAACCCTAAACTTAACCCCCTTACCCTTGTGCCTAAACCTAACCACGTGAAGCTATTATGAGCACTAACAAAGCTAAAAATAGAGCCTATTATCATCACTAACAACATACCTTTAAACCCACTAGGAGGTACAGGAGGGGGAGTCTGACTGCTACATATGGAGATAACAACTAATAATGACCATTTAATGGCTGATACCATTCGAAGCAGGTGTTACTATTGTTTTTATATTCAGTGTTATGTTTAATTGTTTATATTCAATTAAATCTGCCTTCATAGACCCTGTGGAAGAACAAAAAACTAAATCTGGCAAAAAGGGATGCAGAGGCTAAAAGAGAACGATTTACTATTGGTGGTGGACCACCACCAAGGAATGACAAAACAAATTCATTGGGTGACTTGTTTGGAATAATAGAGGACCAGCAGCCTCAGGAAGGTATACTAGACGATGACCATGTGGACAGTGGACATGAAGAACAGAACACAAATGGTAAATTTACCAAAGAAAGGTCACCTCCTTCTGTATAAATATTCTCCTGTTTGTGTCCATCTGCATTTGTATTTCAGTCTAAGGGCCACACCGGTTTATGTTTCTAACAGTGCGCTTTACACAGGGGAACCTACACTTATCCAGATGGAAGAGCCAGCGCACAGTGCCCGTGCACCCTTCACATCTGGTGAGGCACGCCAGAGAGAAGATGCTGCCACTACCTTCCAGCAGAGACCAAAAAGCATGTCTATGCATGAAAAACTGGCCGTAGAATTTCACAAGCAGAAAATGAAATATCTGAAAGAAGAGCATGTCATGAAAATGAGAATTTTACAGGTTGAATTAGACATGAAATTAGAAGAAAGAGCTGCTCAAAGAAAGCTGCATGAGACGGCGATGCTGGAAAATGTGATTAAATAAATTGTGTAAATAAAACTTAACTTATTTGGTAAGACTTAATTATATTTTAAATCCGCTTTGGTTGAATTACTCGTTTAATTTTGCTGCATACTTCTACATTTTGTACACAACAAACCATTAAAGTCAAAAGTCATAATCAATATACTCCATGGTTAAATACATCTTTATTTAACGGAAGTGCTGCAAAGTGAAAGCAGCTCTGTGTGCAAGTCCTCGTTGGTTATTCCCTGCCACTGCCACGGGCACATCTGCATCATCTTGACGTTCCATCGGCGGATCTGGACTATCATGCTGCTTTAGGTAGTTGTGCAGCTCAGCTGTAGCAACAATCACATTGCAGCATCTCCTTGGCTCGAAACGAAGTGTATTCCGTAAACGGTGGAATAGATTTTTCCACACTCCAAACATACGCTCAACCATCCCTCTTGTGCGACATGTTGTATCTTTGTTGCTCAGCTGTTGTGGGATGTAGGTATGGTGTGAATAAATATGTACTCTGACCATATCCACTGTCACCAAGTAGTAGTCCACTATGCTGTCCTCTGTCAAACTGAGCACACAATGAGGAGTTAAGAAAAACCCTTGAATCATGAGTTGCACCTTTCCAACGAGCAACAGTGTTTGAAAATTCCAAACTGGGTGTGCATACACCCTGAACGTTGATGGAAAACCAGTTCTTCCGGTTCCTGTACTCCTCAGCATCATGAGTTGATGGGACACTTGATGGCAACATGACATCCATCTATACAACCAATCACTCCTGGGAATTGCCCGTATTCATAGAACCACACTTTATAGTTGGCTTGCTCAGCGGCATCAGGGAATTTGACGTATAGGCTCCTCAGTTCACAAATGGCGCTGCAGATTCTGTGAACCAGTCTACACACAGCTGCTTCACTGGCACTACAGAAATCACCAGTTTCACGATGAAAGATTCCAGATGCCAAGACTCTCAAAGTGATCAGAACTTGGAGATAACTGGGTACAGGCCTTCCTCTTTGATTCAGAGAGGAAAGTCTAGGCTCAAGGAAAGTAATTAGTTCCAATGCGTTTTCTTTATACATACGAAAGCGGGCTCTGAATGTTATTTCATGAAAAAGATTCAATGGATTACTTCTATCCACAAGTGCTCCTCTGGATGGCCTCCATTGTGTATAATGGTATTCATTTAGATATTAAACAGTACTAAGCACAAGTTAAACCTGTCTCTTTGAAGGATTAATTTAAGCTTCAATTTAGTCAGAGTAGTTCTGATCCACCTTTCTGTAAATGGCTTTGTTTAATACACAACAAACTAAATCTGTGACAAAAGTTCTCCCGTTTGTGAAAATGTGTCTTAAAATACAGGAAGCAGTAAAAACATGACTTATGCGCTGCCCCTTTAAATGTCACGTGACCAGCTCCGTAGCCTAGGAGAAGTTTTGTTTACTTCCGGGCTGCTGATCACCAGAGGTACCAACAAGCCCACAACACCGAGCAAAGCGGATTAAAGTCCCGAAAAGATGGCAGAGGAAGCTGAAGACGAAATACCGGGTAAAAATTATCTTTATGTCCGCGGTTTGTCATCAAGTAAACCCGGTTTAGTGTTTTTATTACAGAAAGTGTTTTCTGGCTGCTAACATGTGGCTAATTTAACGTTGCTAGGCGCTCATTAGCTTCTGCGTTAGCTCGCAAGCTAACAGACGATTTAAGTCTTGTGCTTTTATCACAATTATCTTTTAGTTGTACTTGTCTGTTCTGGTTCTGTAAGCTCCCTACATGTTCTTAGCGTTTTGCGTTTTTTCGTGGCTG